CTAACCTAAATGCCAAAAACACCTTTTGGGGGGTGGGTGGGGGTGGGTGGTGATGGTGTCATTTAAATCGTATTTATAATCACTCATGCGATAGTATGATCTTTCAAACTTACCTAATGGCTTCTGAGTCAATATGTACAGGGGCAATTCTTTCCAAAAGAAATTTGACCATTTCCAGAAAAGGATTTGTTGGCTGCTTAGGATTTGCAAGTTTCCGGGCTATCTCCCTCTACAAGAATGTTAGATACAAACAAGAATTACACTCATTTTACTTACTTCTTAAGCATGTTGAATAAGCTAAATACAGCCACTTCTTTTAACCACAGAGATTGTCTATAATCAGTGAAATGTATTTTAAGGGGGGCTGTTGTTATCTCCAAATCTTTCTTTATCACATTATACTGAAAGCAGACATACTTTACCAAACTATTTAAAAGTAAGATGCATTTAGATTTCTAGTGATAGTTCTTCAGAGTTTAAGGAATTGCAGGCCAGATCCAAAACAGTGTCAAGGAAGAGTTAAGGGCAATGTAGACAGAATTTAAATATGTCTGTTGACAAGTAATCCATAAATCTGTAGATAACCCTGTTGTATGTGTGAGATTTCATAAGCAACAATGAAAATATTGCACTAAAAGCTACACTACTGCAGATGTGCAGAAGCACTACACTACCTTGGCTACAACAGATGTTCAGACCCTATATACTTGCCTATGAATGTTCCGGATCCAAAAACCTGTTTTTCCCCTCTGAATGCCCCAAATGTCAAGAACATTAAATTCAGTTGCAAACCCAGCAGAAGAGGGATAAGAACATATTTTTTGTTTTGAACAGAAGTCTACTATCTCTCAAAAGATTCTTGACCTTCCTTCTCATAAAGGGTTGGATGCTGCAGACCCTACAAACTAGGAAATTGTTCTAACTGTTATGCTAAAATATCTTCAGGAAGCAGGAAGAAACCTTCCTCTTGAAATTGCATCACTGCATTCCCAAAGTGCAAAATTTACTAGTTTGGAAGGAGACATACTCTGTTCCCTTCCCCGGACAGTTTCAGAGCCATCAGACAAAACCCAAGAAGCCTATGGGTTTTGTTGATGCTCTCTATTGTGATTTCTGTCAATGAAATTGCTTACTTTGGTTTGGGACCATAATGAAAAAAAGTCTGTGATTGTTGGCACAATCTGCAGATTTCTGGAAAGGTCCAATTTAATATTAAGGTGTGTATTTTCATCAAGGAGGTTAAATAGATGAGAGAGAGAGAGAAAAAAAACTGATTTCAAAATAATGTTCTAGGAAGAAAAATAAATTAATAAATGCAGATGGTATAATATTTAGCTTGCTGGTACTCAGAACAAGTTTCATCAGTGTCAGAAGACAGTTTAGGAACTTTACCATAAAAGAGACACTTGAAATAAAATATTTTAAAAAATTAAACTAGTCTTTTAGTCTTTGTGCTTGATGTTCATAATCCCAGGAAGGAATAAAGCTAAAGTTTTCTTAGGAAGCAAGATGATGATCATAAATTATATTTCCCATAATCTCTACAGAGGTTGACCAAGAAGACATTTTCTGAAAATTGGAAATACATAAAAATCATGTTAAGGTACCGAAAAAGACCATTAACTCTGAATAACTGTTTTAAGCACAAATATTTAAGGCACAGAAGTCTGCTTTTCCATTTCCTTACCACACAGACATCTGCCTGTTTACAAGAACATGTAGGGCTAATCAACAGTTCAAGCTGGGACCGAAGTTTCTCATCATCACCCAGAACCTGATTGAATTTCTTCACAAAATCTTGTGCTTTTCCAGGATCCGGAAGGTTTTCTGTATGATGAAACACAATTTAACATAAGATAAATTTGCCACTTCAGTATGCCAAGATTCACAGAAATATAATTTCCAGGAATGCTGTAAAAACAGTTTACAGAACTTATTAACACTTACTTGCTATGGTCATCAGCTTTCCAAACATGGCAGCACTGTTTGCTTCTGACTGAGGACAACAGCAAAAAGAAACAAACAAATCAGCAATATCTCTTTTATATAATATACCTTTAAGCTGATCTGTTCCTTCTTCTGCAGCACTTCACTCTACTCTGGAATCTTATGTTTTATGTTTTTGTTTTAAGAATAAACACTAGAATAGTATAACAGTATCGTTAGCAGCTACCACACACAGAAAAAAGAGGAAAAATCTTCTTGCAATATCAAAGAACTGCAAAAATTCACTAATTCACATAACGGATCAAAATAAATTGTTGGAAAAAGACCTCAAAACATCCCCCAAACAAATGATTCCCCCAAGCCCACCCCCTCACCAAAACCCCAAAGCAATCTATTTAAAGTTTCCGCTACTTTGAAGATATGCTTACATGTAAAATTCCAGTATACTTTAAAACTTTTGTTTTCAAACAAATAATTGCTTTATGTTACAACATATTCCACTCTGAAAATGTTATAAAATGAGAAACAAAAAAAGGTCTGTCAAAAGCAAACAAAAAACTTCAATTTTTTAAACTTTTCCCAAAGTTATTGCCCAGTAATGTAAAATAATGGTAAACATAAGGAGCCCATAAACATTTAAGCATTACTGCAAGTAACTTTACTTAATGAGAATGGAACATTGTCTATATATGGAAAACAACAGAATAATAAAGTCACACTGAACAAATAATACAGTATTAAAAAAACCCAGTAAATTAGTCTAACAGGTCCACTGGATAAAGTATTAATATTTTCAAAACCGTACAGTGGGCTGCTTATGCAAGTCTAGTAATTCTCGTACGTGACTCCTTAGCATGTTCTGGCACTTCCACATCTCATTCAGTGCTCTGCAAAAGTGCAAAACCGGAAAAGAAAAGCTTACCAATTTGTTCATGACAAGAACGTGCTGGATGTATTAGTAAACAAGATTTTTTGTTTATTTATTTATCTTACAAGTGCAACATCTGCTAGGTACAATCAAAACATACCAAGTATTAAAAATAACCATTGCAAACAAGGTGGAACTTATTTTCTCTTTTTACAGACCATCATTTCTCTTATTATTTTATATGGAACAATTTCACATATGTAGGACAGCCACAGTATGTCTTACAACTGCGCAGATTATCTTGAAAATAACATTTTCAACATAAAAACCACTATCAACCAGAATTCAGTTATAGATATCTTCATCACAGACTCTAATATAGAGCAAATCTAGAAGTCATTACTTGTGCATTTTTAACTCTGCCTTGTTTTCACTGAATGAAAATGAATGGATAAAACCACTCTTCTCAAATATCAAGGAATCTTTTTGTCTAAAGGACATAGGGACTTTGTATATAAAAGGGCAATGTTTTGAAATACTACTTGCAAATAATGCTAAGCATCAATTACTTATATGTTTATTTAAATCCCAATAATACAAGTAAGATTATATAGATGTTGGAAAAGCCTGAGAAAGCAAGTATTTGCTGAATACAAACTATACTCACTTGACAGCATTTGGATCCAAGCTAGCATACAAATAGTACAAGCACTTCATTCG